AATCTTCCTTAGGTACAGTGAGAGTGTGATAACATGATCTTTCTTTTCCTGTCATTTTTGCAAATATTGTCATATTTTCATTTTTACAATCATTATAAATCAAAGCATATTGCTATTATTTCTGCTTAAATAGTTGACTACATTTTACAGGCATCAAGCTATAATTTTTTTCCTATTTATCCATCTAGCTCTGATATCTGACCTTTTTATATGTTCTTATAAATTTACTTTTCTCTCTGTCATTGTTCCTGCAGGGGTATCCTTTACTATTTCTTGTAGGGAAAGTGTGCAGATGATCAATTCTGTGAGACTTGTAGTCTGAAAAGTTTTATTTTATCTTCATTTTTCAATGACATTTTCACTGGGTAGAGATCAAGGTTTATACGTTTTCTTCTTTTAGTATTTTCAGACATTGCCCCTCTGTTCTCTTGCTCACACGGTTTGAAATGGGAAATGTGCTTTTAGCATGATGCTGGGACCTCTGTTGGGAACATGACTCTCCTCTCTGGCTGTGAGAGTGTCTGCATCATTGGTTTGTAGCAATTTCATTACAATGTGTCCTGTGCTGTCTCTCATGCTCCCTGTGCCTGAGCTTCATTGAGCTTCTTGGATATGTTGGTTTATGCATTCACCAAATTTTGAATATTTTTGGTTATTATTTCTAGAAATACTCCTTCTCTTCCTCCTCCTCCTCCTCCTCCTCCTCCTCCTCCTCCTCCTTCTTCTTCTTCATTATTATTATTAACCACCATCTCCCCATCTTCTCTCCCCTAGTTACTCCAGTCACACACTTTAGGCTGCATGGAGTTGTCTTAGGCACTGAGGTTTTATTCATTTATTCCAGTTTTTCTCTCTCTGTTTCAGGGTTTTTTTAAAATTTTTATTTATTTTTTAAAATCCTTTACAGTGTTCCAGAATTCATTGTTTATGCATTTTATTGCCATGTATTCAAGTTCACTAATCTTTGCTTTTATAACATCATCTGCTGACAATCTCACCCAGTGTATTTTTTTAAATTTTTTTTGCCTGATTTTATTTTATTTTATTTTATTTCATTTTTAAAAATTTTTTATTTTTTATAAACATATAATGTATTTTTATCCCCAGGGGTACAGATCTGTGAATCGCCAGGTTTACACACTTCACAGCACTCACCTTAGCACATACCCTCCCCAATGTCCATAACCCCACCCCTTCTCCCAACCGCCCTCCCCCAAGCAACCCTCAGTTTGTTTTGTGAGATTAAGAATCACTTATGGTTTGTCTCCCTCCCAATCCCATCTTGTTTCATTTTTTCTTCTCCTAACCCCTTAACCCCCCATGTTACATCTCTACTTCCTCATATCAGGGAGATCAAATGATAGTTGTCTTTCTCTGATTGACTTATTTCGCTAAGCATGATACCCTCTAGTTCCATCCACGTTGTTGCAAATGGCAAGATTTCATTTCTTTTGATGGCTGCATAGTATTCCATTGTATATATATACCACATCTTCTTTATTCATTCATCTATTGATGGACATCTAGGTTCTTTCCATAGTTTGGCTATTGTAGACATTGCTGCTATAAACATTCGGGTGCACGTGCCCCTTCGGATCACTACATTTGTATCTTTAGGGTAAATACCCAGCAGTGCAATTGCTGGGTCATAGGGTAGTTCTATTTTCAACATTTTGAGGAACCTCCATGCTGTTTTCCAGAGTGGTTGCACCAGCTTGCATTCCCACCAACAGTGTAGGAGGGTTCCCCTTTCTCCGCATCCTCGCCAGCATCTGTCATTTCCTGATTTATTAATTTTAGCCATTCTGACTGGTGTGAGGTGATATCTCATTGTGGTTTTGATTTGTATTTCCCTGATGCCGAGTGATGTGGAGCACTTTTTCATGTGTCTGTTGGCCATCTGGATGTCTTCTTTGCAGAAATGTCTGTTCATGTCCTCTGCCCATTTCTTGATTGGATTATTTGTTCTTTGGGTGTTGAGTTTGCTAAGTTCTTTATAGATTTTGGACACTAGCTCTTTATCTGATATGTCGTTTGTAAATATCTTCTCCCATTCTGTCAGTTGTCTTTTGGTTTTGTTAACTGTTTCCTTTGCTGTGCAAAAGCTTTTGATCTTGATGAAATCCCAATAGTTCATTTTTGCCCTTGCTTCCCTTGCCTTTGGCGATGTTCCTAGGAAAATGTTGCTGTGGCTGAGGTCGAAGAGGTTGCTGCCTGTGTTCTCCTCCAGGATTTTGACGGATTCCTTTCTCACATTGAGGTCCTTCATCCATTTTGAATCTATTTTCGTGTGTGGTGTAAGGAAATGGTCCAATTTCATTTTTATGCATGTGGCTGTCCAATTTTCCCAACACCATTTATTGAAGAGGCTGTCTCTTTTCCATTGGACATTCTTTCCTGCTTTGTCGAAGATTAGTTGACCATGGAGTTGAGGGTCTATTTCTGGGCTCTCTATTCTGTTCCATTGATCTATGTGTCTGTTTTTGTGCCAGTACCATGCTGTCTTGATGGTGACAGCTTTGTAATAGAGCTTGAAGTTCGGAATTGTGATGCCACCAACTTTGGCTTTCTTTTTCAATATTCCTTTGGCTATTTGAGGTCTTTTCTGGTTCCATATAAATTTTAGGATTATTTGTTCCATTTCTTCTGGTACTTTGATAGGAATTGCATTAAATGTGTGGATTGCTTTAGGTAGCATAGACATTTTCACAATATTTATTCTTCCAATCCAGGAGCATGGAACATTTTTCCATTGCTTTGTGTCTTCCTCAATTTCTTTCATGAGTACTTTATAGTTTTCTGAGTATAGATTCTTAGCCTCTTTGGTTAGGTTTATTCCTAGGTATCTTATAGTTTTGTCACCCAGTGTATTTTGATTATGTAATTTTCATTTTGGGACTTCAAAAAATTTTTATTTAAAAAAAAATGTCCCCATATCTTTTTCTAACCTGTTCAGTCATTCTTTCATCCCAGTTCCAGGTGAAACATAGTCTTAATACCTGTGTTCATTTCCTCTGTGATCCATCCTGTGCAGAGCCTGCCTGGTGGGCTGGGTGGAGTGGGACCTCAGGGGATCTCAGATGTGGGGACCTGCTCAGACCTGCTCACTGCTCTGTGCACAGGCCTCCTGGGCTGGAGAAGAGTGTGATACTGATGGGGAAGGGGTTTGTATCACAATTCCATGTCTGCCTCTGTCACTGTGAGCATTACCACTGTGGTCAAATGACTGACAGTAATATTTAGCCTCATCCTTGGCACAGGCTCCACTGATGGTCAAGGTTGCTGTGTTCCCGAGATGGACCTGGAGCATCGGTCAGGGATGCCTTAGTCCTAGTTGCTGTCACCATAGATAATCTGCAAGGGGTCCTGGATCAACTTTGCTGGTACCACTGACCATCTTTCCTTCCAGTGTTTTTTCCCCCACAGGTGATCCTGGTACATGTATGTCCTAGGGTCACCAAAACTGAGGGGGGCTGAGTAGCAGGTAGGAGGCCAGGAAGTCTGGAAGAGAAAGTATGAGAGGTGGGTTGGAATACAAAGACCCACTCCCAGGAGATACTCCTAGCTGCCTAGCCTAGACTAAACTCCTGGAATTTTGTGGGAACACAGAGTTCCCCTTCACCCTGATCTCAGTCCCAGGGGCCCATGGGCCTGACAGGGGAATGGAGCCTGTGATCTAAAGAACTCTCCACCCCTTTTCCCTTGGCAGGATTAGTCCTTCAAATATCATGGAGAGCCAGTGACCATAGTCCTTTCAGTTTTAGACCACGAGCCCCTCATCCTGCAGGAAGATCATGAATATCCTGCCCACCATGGATAGCCCCGTGTTGAGCTCAGAATCAGGTCCAGGCTTTTCCCAGATATGTGGGACTAGAGGTGTGTGAGCATGGATTTAGTGTCTCTGCAGAGAGACAGTAGGCTGAGGATGACAGGGTTTCAGGCTGTGGTAGAGGAGACCCAGTTCAGTTCCCCAGGGCCCAGGTTGGCAGGTTTTCCCCACAGGCCACTTTTATTCATTTGCTGGAGAAACCTGCTGGTTATGCAAATCAGCCACTTCTCAGGGGCTGCTGATGAGGAGCCTTTTGGTTTCAGACAAGAGCTCAGCACCAAGGTGCATGCAGAAGTTGGGGGGGGGGGCAGCATCTGCAGACCCAACCATTAGCCCAAGATATCCTTCTTCAACTGTTGGTCCCATATCTGGGGATGATATCTCTACCCTTGACTATGTCCTTCCTCAGTTCTGGGTAAGTCTGGTCATAGCAGCACTCAGAAATGAGATCAGTGTGATTTTTATGAACCTGTTCTACAGGTGAAATGAGAAGGCAAAGATAGGGGCAGTGTCCTAACCCAAGCACAGCTCCTGAGAGGCAGACCCCATTAAAATGTCACCCTTGCCAAGGGCATATACAGTATTCCAGGAGTCCCTGCAGTTCTATAAAATTCAGTCCTTCATGTGAGCTCCTGGGGCACAACAGAGATGCTGTGCCTCAGGGTCCGCAGTGTGCTGACCGTCTCATATAGAATACTGCTTGCAAAAACATTGGAGAGTGATCATATTTTGCCGTGAGCTGGTGAAATACAGTTGTAGTACCTGTGCCAGAAGAGTAAGAAAATCCAGAAAAAACAAAGCTAAGACACCTGGAGCCAGTGGATTTGGAAATCAGTGTGAAATAATATTCTCTAGGAAATGGACACCTTTCCTTCAGATGATAGGTCCTGATACTAGTCCCTGCATGTTAGAGCTTCTGATGCCCAGACTTTCCCCATGTCCAGATGGCTTTCCCAGGTGATCTCTGCTGCCCCCTGTTGGATGTTCCATGCGGGCTGCTGGAGGTGCAAGGGTGTCCTCTCTCTGAGATTAGATTCAGAATCCACTGATCAAGTTGTGATTCCCTGACGCATGAAGTGCTGACCAGAAGGGAGTAAATCCTCTCCACTGTGTTGCCTGTGCCAGCTATAGACCATCCATGATGGGCTCTGACGAGTCAGGAAAAGTCCTATTAGAGACTGAAGAGGCAGGGCCCTCCTGAGGCATTCCCATCCTCCTGATGTCTCTGGGGGTGGTGGAGGTCATGCAGGTGGTCCTTTGGCGTGGCATTGGAGTACACAGAACTCATGGCCTGGTTCTCTCTGCTGCCAGTTGTGCATGCAGCACCTACAGGGGGCATTGGCAGCTCAATCCCCAAAGAGACAAGAGAATGTCCCCTAAAAACCATGTATTCTCACCCAGTTTGTCTTGCACATTCCCCTTCAGGTGTTGACCCAAAGAAAACAGAGTCTGCTCTCAGAGATTTCCATCTTGGGGGTGAGGCCCAATAATAGACACACTGTTGTGCAGACCAGGTGGGATACTAGACTTCTTTCTATGTGTACATTGTCGCCTACATCTAATTGGAATTCAGAAGCTTGTTTTTGTCAGGTCCCTGGCAGCCAGGCTTGACCATGTGGTCCAATGTGGACCATGGATGTAAGGTAATGGGTGGATATTCTCACGAAGCTTGCTGTCACGAATGAAGAAAGTAGATGGGATTTAGCAGCACCTTTCTTGAGGAACATGGGGTAGGAGCTGGAGCTAAGCACTCCCTGGGGTGCATCATCAATACGAATGGAAGCAAAACCAACATTGTGGGGTTAAGGGGAGGGAACACTGGTGAGACTGTGGGTGATCAGAGGATTGGTGATCCCCTAAGAACAACAACCTTCTTACCTCAGACTTCTTTTTGTGAGGAAAGTAAGCTGCATTCTTCATGTCTCTGCTATTCATTAGTGTGTTCTTGCAGTGGACAAGGCTTCCTGGTGGAATGGGGACCAAGGGCATCAGTGGTGAGTTCTGTGCTAGAGAACATGGATCCACAGATGAGACAGAACCGAACAGGCAGGCTTCTCCATGATCAGCAGTCAGGGCCCATCCTGAAAAGGGAGTCCAGTAGCTGCTCTCAGGTCTGGAAGAAGAAAGAAGTGAGACATGAGTGGGAAAAGCCCAATCAGTGCCCTTGGGGACCATTGTAGAGAATCTGAAGGAAGGTGGGGAATCTGAGGGACCTGGGATTCCAACCCAGTTCAGGGCTCATGGGGACTTTTCTCCTGAGGTGAGCATTCTGGGCACAGAGGGATGTGTGAGGTGTGGTAAGAGGTAATTTCAGGTAATAAATCAGTTCTTGGGGCAGCTGCTGGGCACATAGAGGAGCCTCCATGAGGAAGCTGCTGAGGTGGGGACAGGTTTAATGCAAGGTCAGTTCAGACCAGCCCCATTACACCTTAGCTCACCTGGGGGCTGAGGACACTCAGGGTAGTAGTTGTTTTTCCTCCCCTCCCCTCTTATAGAGCTGCAGGCACAGGGGCAATAAGGGGCAACATGTGCCTCTGGTTTGGTCCCTCTGTCCTGTCCCACATGGACAACCTGTCACTGCTTTCTCCAATGCCCACAGACTGGGTGAGCTGATTGGCAGCAGGAGGGAGAGTTGCACCTGACAAGGAAGGGAGGGCAGGTAAAGGAGTGCAGGTCCCCTGTCCCTGGAGAGGAAGAGAGAAGAGCAGAAGCTGGCAGGTGCAAGGCAGTAGCCATCCACTTCACCAGTTGAGGAAGGCTGCCCAGGCTGAGCGGGGATGAGGGACAACCTCAGCCAGAATGGTCTAGGTCCTGAAGGAGACAGCTTATGCTCTCAGTGCTGCCAGCTGCCTGTGGGGGCGCTTCTGCACTTGGCCACAATGCCTCCCCCTGCTGACCAGGTAGGGTGCTTCCAGGCTATTCATTTTCCTGTTGATGAAGAAGGCTTTAGTGGGAATCTCCAGATTCTAATTCTCTAGAGGAAATTTTCATGATCCTTTCAACTGAAAAATTCCTGGCATGATTATTCCAGCAAAGATCCTGTTTCTGATTTATCAGGTCATTAAGGGATTTTAGATGAAAGATTCCAATTGTCCTCACCATTCTTTTGTGAGGAGAAAATGATTTCTCTCTTGTGTCTCCCACTTCCAGGAAGGTACCATTCTAACACAAGCCAAGGTGGAAATGAGGAAAGCTTTTGCTCTTCCTTCTTAATAAGTTCCTCATCTGTTCTCTTGACTTCATGCATTTTTTCTCAAAATCAGTTTAAAAACCACATGTCAAGAAATGATGAGATCATGACCCCTGACAGAATTCTCCCTGTGTTTTTTTTCTATCCAGGGCCTTTGTCTGTCTGCAGTTGACACCTAGGCCCAGAGAAGCTGGCAGCTTAGTGCTGTCAGCTGTAAATATTCTCCTGACCCTCCCTGTGCAGAGCTGCCTGGAGGGCTGGATGGGGAGGGGGATGGGGATCTCAGATGAGGGGACCTGGGCCAGAAGTGCTCCCTGCTCTGTGTGCAGGCCTCCTGGGGCTGGAGGAGAGTGTGACAAAGACAGGGATGGGGTTTTTGTCTCACTTCCCTGTCTGTCACTGTGAGCATTACCACTGTTGTCCCACACCTTACAGTAATAGTCATCCTCGTCCTCAGCACGGGCCCCGCTGATGATCAGGGTGGCCGTGTTCCCTGAGTTGGTGCCTGAGAACCATTCAGGGATCCCTGAGGGTCGGTTGCTATTCCTATAGATAATCAATACGGGGGACTGGCCCAGCTTCTGCTGGTACCAGTAAACACTTTTACTTCCAGTGTTGTTTCCCCCATGTGTGATCTTGGCCGTCTGTCCCAGGTTCACCGATATTGAGGGTGGTTGGGTCAGCACATATGAGGCCATGGAGTCTGCAAGAGAAGAGATGAGAAGTAAGTTCCAGCCATGGTGTCATCCCCTGGGCACTCCCACCCTTGGTTTAAATCCCAGTGATTCTCTAGGTCATTTCCACCCTGCTGTCCTCTTTGTTCTGGGGCCCATGGGCTGGCCTAGTAGATGGAACCTTTGAACAAATGAGAACCATTCCTCCCCTTTCCCTGGGCAGGTGTAGCCCTTTTGGGTCACACAAAGCCAATGAGAACAGTGGGGAGATATTACATCACACTAGTCCTTCATCCCAAAGGAGGGTTTTGAGATCTTTCACCCCCCCCCAGTGGCAGTCCACTGCTGAGCTCAGAGTCAGGGCTAAGATTGTCCCAGAACCTGAGGATGAGGGGGTGTGAGACTGGGTACCTGTGCAGTGAGCCAGGAAAACAAGGAGGAGAGGGGTCCAGGCCATGGTGCAGGTGCCTTGATTCTGCTCCCTAAATCTTCAGGTTATACAAGGTTCCACCCAGGCCTCTCTTAAACCCTTGCTGCGACAGCTGGTGCTTATGCAAATGAGCCCAAGCTCAGGGGCTGTTGCTGAGGAGCCTTGTGGTTTTAGAAATGGGTTCAGGTACTAACATAACACACACAAACATGCACACACACACAGACAGAGAGAGAGAGAGAGAGAGAGAGAGAGAAATGGGCTCAGCTTCAAGGAACACAAAAGTGGGAGGGCAGCTCCTGCAAACCCAACCTCAGCCCAGGTTATTCTCCTTCACCCTCTGTTCCCACAGTCTGGGGTCCAAACCCTATCCCTCTCCATGTCCTGACCTGGCTCCTGGGGAGGTATCATCACAGCTGTGAGGTGGAGTTTGTCTGCATTTTCTGAACCCATCATAGAATGTTTCCTCTGTAGGTACTACAGGTTCATAGGTCAGTGTGTGTCCTACTCCTGGTTTATATTGGTGAACATCAGAACATGAAGAAAATTCCCCCCTTGCCAGAAGTACATGGAGTTTTAGGGAGCCATTGATGTGCTGTAGGAGTCTGTGACAAGGGAGAACTCCTGGGGCAGGTCATATATGCTGTGCCTCAGTATCCCCAGGGTGCCCTCCCTGCCAGGGGCAGACCCAGTGCTTGAGCAAGGATTCACAGTAACTGAGTGTAGCAGGAATGGGGGTGGGGTGGAGCATCACGAGGTCCTGGACCTGTACTAGAGCCCGAGACAAATTCCACAGGAAAGAGATGAGAGACCCTGAGTCAGAATTTTACATCCGAGCAAAGAGGATAGTGTAGTAAACCTGCATCTTTACCTTCTGGTCTCAGGTCCTGGTAACCAATCCTCCCAGTTAGAACCCCTGAGGCTTTGCCAGGTGATCTCTGCTGCTCCCTAGTGGCCACTTCACACTGACAGTTGGAATTGCAGGGAAATCTTTTGTCCAGGTGGAGATTCATGACCCAGTGCTCACATCCTGATTCCCCTTGATCCATGCACTGCTGGCATGCATCCTCCAGGGGAGGATTTGCTTGTCTCTGTGGGGCTCCCGCCAGCATCAAGACCAGGTACGAGGAGTCATATTCCCATGAAAAAAGGAAGAGGCTCATGTGAAGAGAAGGCAGGACCCATCTGAGGTATCAGGGCTCATGTCTCTGGGGTGGTGGTGGTCATGGCTGTGGTTTTGGGGTTGAGCACCAGGAGACACAGGACTCTGGGACTGTCTCACTTGATCTGGCTGCTGGAGCACCAAATAGTGTGATGATGGCTCCTGCTCTAAGGACAGAAACAGTAGGACACTCAACCAACAAAATCTTATTCAGACCCAGCTTGGTTCCCATAGGTTTCATCCTGGGAAATCAGTGGGCATAAGACACAAGTCTTTCTTGGGTCCCTGCCTTGGGCAGAGCAGCACTGGGGACAGAGTTGCTTTGGTGAGACAGCACACTGGGGTCACCATCCCCATCTACCTGCATCTTTTTTAATCATCGAGAAGCTCACTATTGCTATTCTCTGGTCTGTCTAGGTCAGCATTGACCTCGTGGCCCAGAGCTAACCCATAAATGTGTCATTCTGCTGGGTATCTTTCTGGGCAGTTTTGTCTGTGAGTGAGAGAAACAGTTGAGATAAATGAGTGCTCTTTATTTTCTACCAATTTGTGATAGCTGGAGCTACAGCTGAGCACTGAGCAGCCATCCTGAGGTCTGTTGTCAAAAATAAAACAAAGCAAAGTCTCCATAGTAGTGATGGTGGCAGAGACAGTGAGAGTATTTGGGACCTCACGGAAGTGGTAGTACCTGGAGAACCACCATCTGTCTTCAGACTTACTCTGTCTGCAGGAAAATAGCTGCTTGAATGTTCATGCTCCATATTATGGGCATGTATTGCATTAAACACTTCCTGACCAGTTGAGATAGTAACTAATAAAAAAAATCAATTAATTAAATGATAGGAGAACCTTGAGAGTGTTGGGTGATGTGCAGAGAGTGAAGTCACATCAGACAAAATGACAGGCAGGCCATGTGTGGGGAGAGGTTTGTCTGCAGAGAGGACTGTGGGGCTGCTGTCAGGATGGGAAAAAGGGAAAAGAACTGAAGTGTGTTTAGATTCTGTCCCTGTTAGGAAGTGTCTGCTTTGTGTGAGGACACAGGAACAGCGAGGATCTTAGGTGTCTGTGATTCAAAGCTAGTTGAGTTCCAAGGTGGTATTTTCCCATAAGTTAAAAACTCAGTGGCAGGTGTGATATGTTATAATTCTCATGTTGTATGTTTCCAGGGAAAGTGAGTCAAGAGGAGCCCTGGGTGAACCTCGCTACAGACTGAGTGGGAACTGGAGCCTGTTTGTAGCTGACAGTCACTGTGGCTTCTGTGTGGCTCACGTGTGTGTGTGTGTGTCTGTGTGTGTTTCATCCTGACATAAAATTCCTGTCACATACCACCTTTCTATCATATATTTACACTCACACACATATATGATATACTTGTGTGTGTGCACATATATACGGATTGTGTCTGCTGTATGTTTGAGATATATTTGTGTACATATATACCCTTATGTATGATATATACACATATGTTTTCTAGAGATTCTGAACTCTGGATTGTGTACCAAAGTTTTAGATTTGCATTTTAAGGAGACATACAGTTCCATTTTATCACCAATGATAAGGTGGGCCTGGTTACCATAATGAATGGCAGGACCAAGTTAGTAAACAGACTCTTTGACAGAGCACACTGCTTTCAATCAAAGACAGTGTTCCTAGAACTGAAATAGATGGGCCATTTACCAATTATTTTTTTACATCTGCATTATTAGAAATCTCCAACAGATACACAATTAGACTTTCTACTGAACCTTAATAGAGAGTGTATGTTCCTTATTAGCCACCAAGTTTCTATGTGATTGAGCTGCCTGCACAAACTGAATATTTTAGGTCCAACCATGCCCTGAAATTGTGCATTCACAGCAGCTCTCCATCATCCAGCAGAAGAGGTAAATTTAAGATCAGGCTTCCCCAGGTCCTGAAGGCACAGGTGAGATGCATGAGGAAAAGGCCCGATGGCCATGACCCCAACACATACTGCATTGTCTCTGCTCTGTCTGGCACAATTATGACCCAGTGGGGACAATCCTATGAACAGCTGGTCCAGATGAAAAATCATGGTTGGGGGCGCCTGGGTGGCTCAGCGGGTTAAGCTGCTGCCTTCGGCTCAGGTCGTGATCTCAGGGTCCTGGGATCGAGCCCTGCGTCGGGCTCTCTGCTCAGTGGGGAGCCTGCTTCTTCCTCTCTCTCTGCCTGCCTCTCTGCCTGCTTGTGATCTCTCTCTGTCAAATGAATAAATAAAATCTTAAAAAAAAAAGAAAAATCATGGTTGGTTTAAGAGGTTCCTGTCCGATGTGCATCCAACTGTGCTAGTTAACAATACTAGTCCTGCAGCCTTCATCTGGGACACCCCTGCACAATATGGACAATTTTTCAATAAGTCACCATTTGAGCAGAGTGCTTGCTTTATTTACCTGGGCAGAGAGAAGGACAGAAGTGGCTTTTTTCTAACCTATGTTCTCTGACTCAGTTTGGCTGGATGGTGAGAGACTTGGAAGAAACACAAAAAAGAAAGTGGTGAAAGATGTTTGAGGAGGAGATATGTGAGGAGAACCCACCCCCAAATGAACACAGAGCTATTTGTGTTCCATGAAAATGCCCACAAGAATGTGTCCTCAAAGGGAAATGGTGTTCATAATCAGGTGGGTAATGTGACATTCTGCAGACAGTGGTGAGCCTTCTTGTCCATCCACTCTTGAACTTGTCCAGTGGGCCTATAGCAAAGTGGCCATGTTGCAAGTTTTTAGGTTATTCATGGAATAATCCCTAGGTTTGTCCACTCATAAAGCTCATGTCCACTCATAAAGACATGGTTATGGCCACTTCTGATGGTCCAATCTGCTAAGAGCAGAGACCAACCCAGAGTTCCCAGGATGAGGCCATTCCCTTGGGAATCAGCCAGTAGCCTGGTGGCAGATGAATGACATTAGACCTCTTCCATCATGGACAGGATTGCTCTGTTGTTAGTGGAATAAATTTTTATTCTGAACAGGAACTTGCTTTCTTTTCCTGAAGTGCTTCTTCCCAAACTGTAATCCTTGGACTTACTGAATGTCTCACCTAGTGTGGCTTCTGTCCAAGGCTCACATTTCACATCAGAAAAGGGCTGCCATGTTCCAATGCCCATGGAATTCACTGATTCTACCTTGTTCCCCACCATGTGAAACAGCTGGCTTGAATGATGTACTACTGGCCTCTTGCAGACTTGTTTACCATTCAGTCACATGCCACATCTTATGGGACTGTGGGCAAGATTTGGCAGGAGATGATATTTGCACTAAATAGGTGTCCAATATATGAGCTATTTCTCCCATAGCCATAATTCATGGGTCCAGGAATGAAGAGGTGGAGTTGGGAATATCCATACTCACTGACATTCCAGATGACCTACTGCAAAATTTTCACTCCTTGTACCATGACCATATACTCTTGCCCTAGAGGTCTAAGTTCTAAAGGAGAATTGCTTTAGTGAAACAATTCACAGAAACACCACAATGATTCTATTCAATGGAAAGCTGAGAATTCCCCTTGTCACTTTGAGCTTGTCATGTCTCCAGGGATGTCTCTCTGTCCTTCCAGCTGGATCCTTCATCTCCAACAAGTACCCTAGGCCAGAAAACATGACAGCTCCATCCTGCCTCCTGCATAAGCACCCCTGATCTACATGATACAGAGGATGCATGAAGGGCTGTGTTGGGAGATAGACCTGGGAATCTCAGAACTGGTGGCCCTGGACCAGACCTACGTGCTTTGTTCACAGTCCTCCAGGGGCTGATGGAGAGTATGACACAGATAGGATAGGGGGTTTTGTCTCACAACCCTGTCTGTCTCTCTCACTGTGAACGTTAGTACCACTGTCCCACACCTGATA